TTTTTAATTATATAGTTGAAATTTGGTGGAGACAGCACTAATAACTTAACATAATCACCCTCACAATCAACCGAATAAAAAAATTAACACGAAATTATATCTTTCATAAAAGCCGATATATCAAATCCCATGCATAGCGCAGACTTTTCCAACTAATTAATATTTTTTGTCGACAATTAATAACCCCACATTATATATAAATAGTTAGATTTATATCATCACCTTAAAATTACAGCAGAAATGAGATTATGGAAAGAAAAAAAAAACAAATTGATAAGGATAGTTTTACCTAAAAATATAAGACAACTGAACAGATAAACGGGGTTTGTGAAAGAGAAAATGTTTCCCTTGATCTCATTCACATGATTACATCAGTATATATTGAGAATACTGTTACAAACAAGTTGGGATATGCCCAAGAATATAGGTAACGATATATTAACAAGAACAGAATATTCTTGTTGACTAACACCCTCCTGCAGTCGCAGCGTCGAGCTCTGAGACGCCAAGACTGACCCTGAAGCTGATGAACAAGGAAGAAGGTAGTCCTTTGGTGAAAATGTCTGCATATTGTGAAGAAGCTGGAATATGATAGACTCGTACTTGCCCCATCTGCACCTTTCCTCTCACAAAGTGTATATTAATTTCAATGTCTTTGGTGCGTTGATGTTGAACCGGGTTGGAGCAGAGGTAGACAGCACTGATGTTGTCGCAATAGACAATGGTTGCTCGTTGAAGAGGGTAATGCATTTCAAGTAGAAGATTGCGTATCCAACACGTTTTGGCCACTGCATTTGTGACGCCTTTGTATTCAGCCTCTGCACTTGATCTTGACACAGTAGCTTGGCGTTTAGCAGACCAAGATAACAGATTATCACCTAGGAAGACACAGAAACCCGAAGTTGAATGTCTTGTGGAGGGACAGCCCGCACAATCCGCGTCGGAGTAAGCGGTTAATGTCATCTTTTGGTTTCTTAGGAGTTGTAATCCTTTGTTTTTGGTTCCTTGTAAGTAACGAAGGATGCGTCATAGAGCCTGCATATGTAAGTCTCTTGGATCATGCATAAATAAACAAATTTGTTGTACCGCATATGCAATGTCCGGTCGCGTGAATGTCAAGTACTGCAGAGCCCTTGCTAAACTTCGATAGTCTCTCGGATTATCAACTGGTTTACCAACGTCGTCTGCTAGCTTGGCTTTCATGTCGACAAAAGTAGCTACGGGTTTGCAATCTTGCATTCCAGCCCTGTTAATAGTGTCTGCAGCGTAGTAACTTTGATGAAGAAACAAACCCTTGTCGTTATGGATAGCTGCAATGCCTAAGAATGAGTTGATGAGACCACCATCTGTCATTGAAAATTCTTTTTTTCATAGCATCTGTTACTTTCTTCGTAAGTGAGGGAGAAGAAGTGGTGACAATTATGTCGTCAACGTAAAGAAGTACGTATGCAAGATCGCTTCCATTCTTAAACACAAACAGACTTGCATCACTTTTTCTTTGTGTGAAACCAAGTTGTGTAATGAATCCTACAAACCTTGTGTTCCAAGCCTTTGGAGCTTGTTTCAAACCATAGATGGAGCGCTTGAGTTTACATACATAATTCGGTCTCTTCTTGTCTACATAACCTGGGGGCTGAGACATGTAAACTGTTTTGTCAAGAGTGCCATGTAGAAATGCATTTTGAACGTCAAGCTGGTACACTGGTCAGTCATTTGTAAGAGTGACATGAATGACACTACGGATGGTGACTGGTTTAACGACGTGACTGAAGGTTTCAGAGAAGTAAACACCCTCTTCTTGAGACTTACCATTTGCGACCAGACGGGCTTTGTTCTTTTTGAAAGAATCTCGTGCATCAAACTTTTCTTTTTATAGCCACATCATAAGTTCCACTTTTAATAATGGCATCATACTCACTGTTTACAGCCGGGTTCCAATTAGGATCTGAGAGAGCTTGTTGAATGCTTTTTGGTAAGGGAGAGCGAGTTTGAGTTAGCATGGAAAGAACATTTTTAGTCTTATGAATCCCATGCTTTGAGTGAGTGATCATCGAATGCCTAGGAGGCTCAGTGACATGTGGAGTTACTTGAGTTTGAGGAGGATGAGGATTCAATGTCGTCACTACTGCTGGAGAAGGAAGGTTCACAGCAGGTTTTGTTAGAATTTTCTGGAGAAGTGGAGATGTGTTTGGCTCTAGGAAGTCGTAAGTCGATTCAGAAGTTTTGGAAGAATCGTTATACGGAAACGTTGATTCATCAAATACCACATGTCGTGATAGGATGATTTTTTTTGTTTCAAGATCGAAGCATCTGTATCCGCGATGAGATTGAGGGTAGCCAAGAAAGATGCGACGAGAAGATATAGGAGAAAGTTTCGATAGAGAAGAGTGGTTTTGATTGGGAAAGCAGAGGCAGCCGAAAACTCTTAAGTGTGTATAGGAAACTGGCTTGTTGAAAAGCTTTGTGTATGGTTCTTTATTGTCTATAGCCTTTGAGGGCAGGAGATTGAGGACATGAAGAGATGCACGAAGGGCCTCAACCAAAAAAGAAGGTGGAAGTTTAGCTTGAAAGAGAAAGGTTCGAACAGAATTGTTGATAGTGCGAATCATTCTTTCAGAACGTCCATTTTGTTGAGACGTATAAGGACATGAGAAGCAAAATGTGATGCCTTTCTCTGCAAAAAAATGATGAAATTTTGAGTTGTTATACTCAGAGCCGTTGTCACAATGAAGAGATTTAATTATGGTTTTGAAATGATTTTCGACATCGTTGGAGAAAAGGTTGAATTTAGAGAAGACTTCTTCCTTGGATCGCAAGGGATAAACCCAAAGGAAGTGAGAGAATTGATCTAAAAAGAATACATAATACTTGATTCTACTCAAACTTTGGACAGGAGAAGTCCATATAGGTCTGAGTGAACTATGTCAAAAGGGGCTGTGACAACAGTATCAGAAGAAGTAAAAGGCAATTTTATTTGTTTCCCAAGTTGGCATGCATCACAAATTGAAGCAAGATCATGTTTATTACAAAGCAAAGCATTAGATGAAAACAAAGAAGAAAGAGTTTGATTGCTTAAATGAGATAAACGACGATGCAAGTGGTGGACGTTGTCGTTAAGAAAGTTGAATGAGATGTGTTTGGCTTTTTGTGAGATGGAAAGACTGGATAGAGATCACCGGTACTGTCGCTGCGGAGTATCGTCTGTCGAGTACGAAGGTCCTTCACAGAAAAACCAATCGGATCAAACTCAATAGAATAAGAATTATCTTTAGTGAACTTACGTACTGAGACAAGATTTTTGATGATTGAAGGAGTGACCAACACAGATGATAAATTGAGATTGCGTGATGAAGACGAAAAAGAGAAAGAACCAGATTTGTGAAACGGAATACGATTCCCATTGGCGACTGTAATAGTATGCTCGGTTCCAAGATTAAAATAGACTTTAGATTACCTGCAGAGTTCGACAGATGTGAGGTTGCTCCTGAGTCCATGTACCATTGATGATCAGTAGGATCCATGAGCGTCATCGTGTTGAACGCTGACGCGAAGTCTGTAGTGAACGCAGACGTGAAGTCTGTAGTGAATGCAGGTTGATTGTTAGCACCTGGTAGAGCTTGTGTCTGTATATGCATAGCTTGATGAGGCGTTTGTGGTCGTGGTCCGAGAAGACCTTGAGTCTGAGCTGACTGAGGCCACTGAATATTTTGGGGTTGAATTTAGTACGGGTAGCCATTGTTCCAGAAAGGACCGCCCTATTGGTTGAACAACGGTCATTGATTGTCGTTTCCTCTCCCTCTGCCTCTACCTCTGTTGTTGTTCTTCTTGAAACTGCGATTGTAATGAGGTTGTTGTTGAGAGCTTGGCTTTTGCTGAGTGGGAGATGCAGAAAGGTTAAGAACTTTGTCAGATGAGGAAGAGTCCTTGGAAGTCGATGTTTTTTTAGCCTTTTTGAGACGATCTTCTTCAAGGATAAGCATGGACATGGCTTCATCAAACGTAGGAAACGGTTGGCGATGCATGATAACGTTAATGATGTTCTCAAACTTTTCGCTTAAGCCATTCAGCATATATGTAACCAACGTTCGTTCGGAAACAGGAGCGTCAACATTGATAAGGAGATCGGAGATGAATCTGAGATCCTGACAATAGGCATGAATGGTTTGGTCACCAATCTCTTTGGTCCTGAGATCATGATCTAACTGAATGGATCTGGCCTCTTTGTTATTGCGGAATAGATTCTCGATCTTGGTCCAGATTTGTCTTGAGTTTCTACCTGTGATGAAGGCACTTTGGAAGAGATTTTTGGATAGAGTTCCATACAACCATAACTTGACAAGACCATCTCTCTTAGTACATTGTTGATCATTGTCGTTTGCAGGAAGTAGAGTTCCATCAAGATGTCCGGAAACGTCGAAGGTTTGACAATGAATGAGGAAAAGCTCACGCCATGCGTCATAGTTGTGATCTTCAATGTCGAGAATGATAGGGATATGGGTTTTTATGTTGGTGACGCCATAGGCTCGTTCAAGGTTTGCTTGATCATCAGCCATAAGTGCAGAAGGAAGTAACGTGATTGAGACGAAGAGAAGAGAAAATTAGAAAATGAGAGAAAACAAGAAAAATGGTTCATAATCGTGATTGCTCTGATACCATGAAAGAAGAAATGTTTCCCTTACATCAATATATAATGAGGAGACTGTTACAAACAAATTGGGATATATTAACAAGAAAAGAATATTCTTGTTGACTAACTGTTTGCCCATCACATCGGTTTAGAGTGTAACCGGACCGGATATTCACCAACGTCGCGGTAGAACCGGTCGAGTCCGGTTTTGGATAAACATAGAAGGAATACAACCAAATGAATAATTCGTTCGCTTGTACGACTCTTCTGAGCTACAACGTCGCTATCTAAATCTGGTCCCCTTTCGATCTCGAATCTCCAAGGTATAACTTTTACTCTTTGATTCAATTCAATACATGCTTTCTCCGATCTCTAGACGCTGATTGTTATTTTTCTCAACAATTTGCTTATTTGAATTCGTATATCTGATCAAAGATCTCGGACTTATCTGCATTTCACTTATTGATGTAGGGTGCAGTGTGTGTTCTCTTCGATCTTAGACATTGCTTATTTGGCTTTGCTGAGTTGCTTGGTCCTTGTTCTGTTCTCTTCTGATCAGGTTAAACTTTTTTTTAGCTTTAAAGATGCTTTCTTATTGATGTTTAGTGTTGAAATTGGGTACCCAGCTGCGAAAATTTGCTTTCTTGTTTATGTTTGTGTTAATCTTCTTTTTTTTTCCTCAGGGCATAACGATTCATCAAAAGGCAAGATAAATTCCTAATTTTTGGTGAAAGTCTTAAGTAGAAGAACATCATATCTAAGAGGCACCTCAACATGGTACCTACATTATTAATAATAAGGAATTTTGAACTCTGATTATAACTTTTATTCTTCGCTTACTTGATATGTATACTGCATAAATTGTTAATAGTTTTTCTTCTGTTGGGTCTTTGATGTTCCAGGCAAATCCATTACGGCTCTATCTAGCCTGCATAAAGAATACTCTCGAGGCAGCCATGTGCTTACAGGTACTAATGATTTTCGCTCTTAAGTATCAGTGCATACGTCTCCTATTTGTATGTTTAAGGAAACAAAGATTCAGTTTATATTCCTGAAAGCATTTATATTTCTCTACTTGCAGAACTTTCCTTGTCAAGAAGTTGAAAGGCATAATAAACCAGAGGTTGAACTAAAGTAAGTAAGCTTGTTTCAAAAACATGCATGTGAAAATAGATGCTCTTGTCCATTTTGATTCGAACTAGATGAATCTTATTATCGACATGTTTTTGTAGGACGAGCCCAGAACTTTTGCTAAATCCTGTAAGTAGTTTATTTGTTTCCCTCTCTGTTTACTAGGTTCACTAACTGGCTGCTAAAATTTTTAGGTTTGAATTTGCAGGTTTTGATATGCCGTAATGAGGCTGAAAAGTGTTTGATAGAAACATCTATAAATTCACTCCGGATAAGCCTCAAGGTAATTGTTGATCTTGCCTTAGCTTTATATTGTTTTTCACCGTTTCTTTTCATTCACTCTCCTGAGAGTCTTCAATGTGTCATGACTTAAACGTCCTATTGTTAATAAATACTTGGTACTTGAATTTGCAGGTCAAACAAGCGGATGAACTTGAAAACATACTCACCAAAAAGTTCCTTAGATTCTTGTCCATGAGGGCAGAAGCTTTTCAAGTACTGAGGAGGAAGCCAGTGCAGGTAGAGAGACCTTCTTCTTAATTTAAACGTAGCTACTTGTGTGTTTTATCTTCCAGATCATCTGTAAAATATAATACTAGGGCAAACGCATCACGAATTGGTTTTATATATATAGAACGCACACGATTGGGAACTTTTTTTACAAGTCATGAATCATCTCACTCTGTGGAACTGCCTTTACTTAGATCAGTGGTTACTGTTTGTTATGTGAATAATTTGTCCCCTGATCCCATTCAACTTGGTTTCCTTGTTGGTCTTTTGAACAGGGATATGACATTAGCTTTCTTATAACAAACTACCACTGCGAAGAGATGCAGAAACAGAAGCTAATCGATTTCATTATTCAGTTTATGGAGGCAAGTCTTTCTCCAAACCTCTGTTCTTACCTTGTGTCTTTTTCGCGGTAGTAACAACGGGAAGTAGTATTCTGAATCGTTGGCCTAGCCTTTGAAATGTTTCTACAAGAATCAAAAAAAAAAGATTAGTTACTTTGATCATATCCTCCAACATGCTAATCTCCTCCGCACTCCGATTAAAACTGGAAATGTAACTGTCTGTAGCACTGAAATTGCAGGATATAGAGAAAGAAATAAGCGAGTTGAAGATATCAGTGAACACTAGAGGAAGACTCGTGGCTACAGAGTTTCTGAAACAGTTCATGTAAAGCAACTGAGTTGTTATAATGTAAGCACTCATTGTATCACTCATTATTTGGTCAAAATTCATCTACACATATAATAAGTTTTTCTTTTCTCTTGCTACACTTTTTTGTTGTTCTCTCTACTTCCATTGCTCCTACGCAACTGAACCACCGGCTTCGTAATTGTGATGTATGTTACGCAATGCTCGTAAAATATGGGCTGTTTGTTAATCACAGAAGCTGTTCTAACGTACAGTCACAGAAAGAAAAAAGTTTGTTTTCTTCTACCATAAGAAGATAAAAAAAATTTCGTTTGGCCGTCTATTAATCTCTATCGGGATAATCTGTTTAACTGATATATCTAAGATTCTTTGATCTATTCAAATCTTGACCAAAAAAAAGATTATTATTTGGGACTGTATGTTTATCAATCCAAATGAAACATCTAAACTGAATTTTGTTTATTTTAATTGTTTAACTAGATTTTGATCCACGTATAGAAAGCATCAAAGCACAAATTTATTTTCGAAATTAAATAAATTATTTTAAATAAATTTTTATATGAGATTTTGAATTGTGATTTTTGATCTGCGATTTTTACCCCGAACCAAGAATCAAATAGATAACTAAATTTAAAATTTTCTGGAATTATCAGATATTTTAATTTAAACTGACAACGTCTAAATTATTAGATAGTAATTATAAAATGAGGTAAATACATTGTTATTAAAAAGATTCATGACAAATTTTTATATGTGTATTAACTATCAAGCTATAAAAATGAGGTAAACATGATTGGTCAATTTACCAATGTGTGTCTTGTTACACGAGACATGAAATAAAAATAATTATATCGGACAAGCTTGTATGTTAACAAAATCAATATATAGAAATCACAAATCTATATAAGATATTAAACTTACATTAGCATCACATACAATTAGTTCCATAGATTCTTCAATGTCTTTCTTGAAATGTCTCTGTGTATCAATGATCTTCACTTGGGTGTGACATGCCGTCTTGCGTGGTATGATATCATTCAAGAAAGTTAGCTACATATTGTTCGCCAATTTTTCTGTATTTATAGGTCTATGAATATCGGCTAACTGATCGTATATTTATAATAGGTAGGTGGTATAGCGGATTTAGGTTACACATCAAAATATTTTAAAGATTTGATAAAATATGTAACTTTGTGGAATAAGGAATATTAAGTGAGTATATTGCAATTAAAATAAACTTTTTTAATTTCTAAGAGTTAATGCTAATCTAATTAAAGTAGGTTAGTGATAATTCTGTATGAATAAGGAAAATAATAGCTAATTGTGATATTAAATAAAACTTGTAGACGAAGTAATATAAATATTTTCGGATTTTGTTATTAAATATCGTATATTAAATATACCGTTAATTAAAAGATTTGCTCAATATATAGAAATCCATTTTCTTATTAAAATTGGTCATATACAATATCGTATATACCAATATATTGTTAATTCAAAGTTGTAATTATCAACCAATCATTCATATATATACAATATATAGTTAATTTAAATTTGTAATTATCAGCCAATCAAAACTATAGATGTTTGAATTATAGACTCAAACCCACTAAGACCCATAGAAACCGACCCAAACAAAAAAAATTCAAATATCTTATTAGGTCCAAATGTCTAGGACCTACGGGATCCACCCGCAAGAAACATATATATCCGTACGTACTTGATCCGAATGCCTTTCATACTCTCTCTCTCTAATTATATTTTTACTGTATTTTATAAAAACTATATTTGTTGAGTCGATAATATTTAAAATTTACTTGGCAGATTTTGGATAATTTAATATTATGCGAGTATATTGCAATTAGAATAATTTTTAAAAAAAATTCTAAGATTTAATGCTAATCCAATTAAAGTAGGTTAGGGATAATTCTGTAAGAATAAGAAAAATAATAACTAATTGTGATATTAAATAAAACTTGTAAACAAAGTAATATAAATATTTCTGGATTTTTTAATTGAATATCGTATATACAAAATATCGTTAACTAAAAGATTTGCTCAGTACAATTAAATCAATTTTCTTCTTAAAATTGATCATATACAATATCGTATATACCAATATATTGTCAATTTAAATTTGTAATTATCAACCAATCATATATACAATATATAGTTAATTTAAATTTGTAATTATCAGCCAATCAAAACTATAGGTGTTTAAATTATGGATTCAAACCCACTAAGACTCATAGACCCATAAAAAAGATTCAAATATCTTATTAGGTCCAAATGTCTAGTACCTACGGAATCCAGACCCGCAAGAAACCTATTCGTACTTGACCCGAATGCCTTTTCATACTCTCTCTAATTATATTTTTACTGTATTTTATAAAAATTATATTTGTTGAATCGACTAATATTTAAGATTTACTTAGCAAGTTTTGGATAATTTAATATTATGCAAGTATATTGTAATTAGAATAAACTTTTTTTTTTAATTTCTAAGAGTTAATGCTAATCCAGTTAAAGTAGGTTAGCGATAATTCTGTATGAATAAGGAAAATAATAACTAATTGTGATATTAAATAAAATTTGTAGACGAAGTAATATAAATATTTCCTAATTTTTATTACATATCATATATATATGATACATCGTTAACTAAAAGATTTGCTCAATATATTTAAATCTATTTTCTTTTTTAAAGTGGCCATATACAATATCGTATATACCAATATATTGTTAATTTAAATTTGTAATTATCAACCAATCATATATACAATATATAATTAATTTAAATTTTTAATTATCAACCAATCAAAACTATAGGTATTTGAATTATGAACTCAAATCCACTAATACCCATGGAAATCGACCCAAAACCTAAAAAAAAAAGTATATCTTATTATGTCCAAATGTCTAGGACCCTCAGGATCCAGACCAGCAAAAAACCTATATGTACTTGACCCGAATGCCCTTTCATACTCTCTCTAATTATATTTTTACTATATTTTATAAAAATTATATTTGTTGAGTCGATAATATTTAAGATTTACTTGGCAGATTTTGGATAATTTAATAGTATAGATTTATAAGGTTTTTAATTTCTTTTAAACTTATAATAAATAAAAAAATCTTTGGTTCATTAAGAGAATTCAACAAATAAAAAAATATAATTAGAAAAAATAGAATTAAAGAATATCTCAAAATTTATAAAATAGATTAATATTTATACTATTATATTTTTATTGTTATATGTGAATATATTTATTTTAATTATGATGTGTGAGTTATTACCTTGTTATAAAAAGTTTACCAAAAATATAAATATGCAATTTCTCTTGCCACAATTAGCCATAAATCATGTTAAATTTTTTAACTATGGGTAATAATTACATCATCAGATAATTTTTAACTCTACATATGATGATCAACTACATGCAACATATACGACTTTGCTGAATAACTCCACGGATTATTCCACGATGAAGCTATTCCCAGAACACTTGGATTGACGAACGATTCTGCATATACGACACCTCGATGGATATACCCATTCCGCAACAGACGACCACATTAAACACCCCTACTTGCAGTACTTTGAGACTTCCTATAAGTTTGCATCCTATAATTTTCCTAAAAATGTGTTGCCTGGATTTTGAATCCAGACTTAGATGTTGAAGTTTTTAAACATTAACAATTAGGTTAAGGTGTTTCCACCAAAATTGTTAGGTTACCATGTCATTTTTTAATGAAAATTTTTGTATAAAAAATACATAAGCAAACTTTGAAAAGTTAATTCTCAAATGATGTCTAAAAAGATTATTTGAGTGTGATTCCTATCCCCTATATATAAATTTTGGAGCATTACAACATTTTTTGGTAGACACGTGTGACAATGAGAATGATTTTCAAAACTCCTAGAGAAATATGTTGGTCCAACTAAACATATGTTATATTTTTATAATAAAAATCAGTTTTATCTTATTATTTTAATGCATTAGGTAGAAAGAGAAAAAATTTAGTGTGTGGATTAGGCATGGGCATTCGGATATTCGGTTCGGTTCCGGATAAGAACCATTCGGTTCCGGGTATATCGGATAAATCATTCTTATACCCAATAGATACTTATGAGATTTCGGTTCGGTTCCGGTTCGGTTCTAGTTCGGTTTCGGTTCGGTTTCGGTTCGGTTCCGGGTACCTATATATTATTTGGGTGTTATTCCTATCCCCTATATATTAATTTTGGAGCATTACAACATTTTTTGGTAGACACGTGTGACAATGAGAATGATTTTCAAAACTCCTAGAGAAATATGTTGGTCCAACTAAACATATGTTATATTTTTATTAAACTAACTATCATATTTAATAGTAGTGTACAAAACAATATTCTCTACTCTTTGCTTAAATAAAAGCTACAGAATTACCTAATATGATTAACATATATATCACAATTAATGATTATGAATACTAAAGATTTGATAACAACTTTTTTATCATATTTACTTTTTATTTAATTTTATATTATTAAAAGAAATTAAGCAATCACATTACTAAAAAATAATAATTTTTAATGATTAACTAAATGGAACACGAACATAATTGAGTGTGTTTTGGTTTAAAAATTATTGCATATCCAAAATCAATATGAACCATCATCCATTTCGTTTAAAATTTTGTTACAATAAAACATATAAGGTTGTGCCAAAAAACTAAATCCAAATAACCGAACTAAATCTAATCCAAAAAGTAGTACAAATCTTTAACCAAAATTGATTAGATATCCAAATGGATTCAAAATTTTGGTATTTATAGAAGTAAAACTGACTCGAAATATTTCGGGTATCCGAGTGTAGTCGAACCAGATTTATATACTTAAATATATTAATTATTTTGAAATTCAACATCTAAGTATATACAAAATACATGAGATGTTTTAAAATTTTCCAAAATACTTAGAAATATAGAAAATAGTTAAATGTACATCTATACTATATAAAAGTTGAGGCTATAAGCCATTGAAAGTGTCCACGTAGGATTTAAGTCCTCCAATCGTATAATGACACATCATTATATTAGTTTATTATTTTTATAAAATGTCATTGTTTCCAAATTATATTAAAACGAAATTAATATTCCATATATAACTTAGCTAACAAAATAAATATTAACATTTTACAAATTACTTAAAAATTTTAATTGTTATAAAAAATGGAAAATCAAAATAAAAACGTAATATTAACAAAACAATATTGTCTTTTTAGATATACTAAATGTAAAGTATCATTTTTAGAAAATGTCAATGTTTCCAAATTATATTAAAAACGAAATTAATATCCCAAATATAATTTAACTAAAAAAATAAATA